ACCCCTAGGTTTCCTCATCCCGAAAGTCAGGATAAGTCTAGCATCAAACTCAGCTGGTTGTTGTGAGGATTAAATGAAACAAAGTATGAAAGCGTTTAATATCTGGGACAATGCCACGTACTTAATAAATGTCAATAATGACAATACTTTATTAAATTAGCATTTCTGAAAAATAATATTATTGTTTTACAAATGTATAAAGGCTCAGAGTTTGATTTGCTAGCAGAGAAACAAAGATTAGAAGTAGGTGTGTCTGATTTCTCATGTCTTTACTGTGGGTTCTCATCAGATATTAGACACTAGTCCTCGGACGTGTCAGGATGGTTTTTTGGATTGGCCTAGCAATGGCGTGTGTCCCAGATGTCCACCAGGGACTTGTACACTCCACCTGCCCCGCACCATCATTCGACTAATGCCAGCCCAGGGACTAGTGAGGGAGAGTGATCCTGAGGAGGTACCCCCTCCCCTGGAGGGGTGTGGCTCTCTCTACCTTTCACAGAGGAGCAAGGTGAGGTGCTGTTTTTGTTGTTGTTGTTTGCCATTGAGTCGCCCCAACTCATAGCGACCCCTCCTTGTGTTCCCGAGGCAGTATCACTATGGAAGTAGGATTGCCCAACCTTCCTTCCAAGGAGTGGCTGGTAGGTTTGAACCGCCAGCCTTCTGGTGAGCAGTCAAGTGCCTGAGGCACTACGCTACCAGAGCTCCTGGCCTTTGCCACACCGGGTGAGTGTCAGAGACACGACTAAGATCTGGGCCCTGATAGCAGTCTAATGACCTTTCCATCCCCCTTCAGAATTTCTAACTTCAGACATGGGGTCTCTGAGGACTACCTTTTCTCCCTTCTACCTCACCCCAACATACACAAAGGCCTCTGACTAAAAGCTGGGAGAGAGAGAAGGCTGACTCTGAAATAGTCTCTCACCACCATCGAGTTGGCCCCGACTCATAGCGACCCCTCCTTGGATTTCCAAGGTGGTATCACTACGGAAGTAGATTGCCCAACCTTCCTTCCGAGGAGTGGCTGGTGGGTTTGAACCTCAGCTTTCTGGTTAGCAGCCAATTGCCTTAGGCACTATGCCACCAGGGCTCCCTTTGAAATGGTAGCTTTCCATTTTTCAACTATCCCAAAACCTTCCGCCATCAAGTTGATTCCAACTCATAGTGACCCTGCAGGAGAGAGTGGAACTGTCCCACAGGGGTTCCAAGGCTGTAAATCTTTATGCAAGCGGACTGCCTCAACCAATCACCAACCTTTTGGTTAGCAGACAAATGCTTTAACCACTGCACCACTAGCACTGACCTAGATCAACACACCAAGAGGAAATGATGAGGAAGGATGGTGATACAGCAAGAGGTATTCCAGAATCTAGAGGGACTGGAGTTTGAATCCCGGCCCCACCTGGCACTACCTTAGGCCAGCTACTCTGTACCTCAGGTTCCTCACCTGTAGAATGGGAATAATAACAGTGTCTAGGCCACTAGGTGTTCTGAAGAGTCTTTGCTATATATGCATAAACTATTTCTGGAAGATGTTGTAAGAAGGGACCATTCCCTGGAGAAGGATGTCATGCTTGGTAGGGTGGAGGGTCGACGAAAGAGGGGGAGGCCTTCAGGGAGATGGATTGATACGGTGGCTGTGATGATGGGCTCGAGTATAGCAGGGACTGTGGGGCTGGCGCGGGATTGGGCAGTGTTTCGTTCTGCTGTGCATGGGGTCGCTATGAGTCGGAAACGACTCGACGGCACTTAACAACAACAACAACAACAATTTCTGGAAGAAACTGGTTACCACTGGAGCAGCTGCTGGTGGATAGGAATAAGAGGCTCATTTTTCATGCTTTTGAACTCAGGCATGTGAATTTGCCCATTCAAAAAAAATTTTTTTAATGAGTTATTATTTTAGAACAGTGCTGGGCACTCAATAAAAATTGATTATTTGTATAAATAAGTGTTGATACATCTGCGCTGCCCTCCCCCAACACTTCAAACTCGCCCGCCCCCGACCCCCTCCCCGCTTCCCCAGTTTCCAGTCAAAGCACGAGGCAAAGATTGAAAGGGTGGGCTGCAGAGTCAGACCTGGATCCCAATCCTGTGTCTCCCCCTCACTAACTCTGTGACCTTGAGGAAGTTGGTGAGCTTCAGCTTCCCCAGTTATGAAAGGAGGCTGATTCCATAGCTGACTGCCTCCTGGATTTAGTGAAGTCAGAGCTGAAACTGAGTGAGCACTCCCCACTGGTGGTTCGTTGCAGCCAAACAACAGGCAGGTGCTGCTATTATCCCCATTTTACAGATAAGGAATCAAGGCTTTGGGAGATTAAGTAACTTGGCCAGAGTCATTCCACTGGTTACTGGTGAGGCCAGGATGGGAACGCAGGCTTTGGAGTCTGTGTCCCTAACCACTACATCACCCTGCCTCTCCTGTCCTTGTCTTATGCATAGAAGAACGTCTGGCATATGGAAAATGTTCTGTAAATTACAGCTGTGGCTATTGTTGATACACTTTTCTCTGAGCACTTGGCAAAACACTTCTGGGCAGAATTACTGAACAACTTATAAGCACCTTTTTGGGGACAGCACTGAGGCAGAGAACCACACAGTGCTCAGAGGGCTGGAAGGATTCTTCCCTCCTTTTCCTGTGCCCACAAATGCCAGAGCCAATCTTCATGGCAATTCATGTCCCTGCTCCACACATCCAGCCCCTCCATGCTGGTTCTGGTGGTCTCAGTCGCCACCCTGTAGACACCTCCCAGGATGCCTAATGAAGCCCAGGGTTTGGGTAGGGTGAAGCGATGCAGTGACCATTACAGCTGAGGGACAGCCTTCCCCAAATCCTGACCCAGCATGCTACAGATGCCGTCCCCCCCACCCCCGCCAGCCAAACAGGTTTCAGGATAACCCTCTGCAACGGACAAGCTATTCCTCCTTACTGGTCAACAGTGCAATGTGGGGCCCTGCCATCATGAGGAATTTATCGGCACTCCCCTCCCCAGCCAGTTGCACTGACCATCTTTATGGTGATGAAGGCCAGGCAGGAGTAACTACCCCACATTTATCAGATTGAGCCTTGGCTTGCACACACACACACACACACACCACTACACACCACCACACACTACACACCACACACCCATCAGGTTTAGAATCAACCTCTAGCCCTCACCACACTGGAACCCAGTTGGGTGGGGATGATGGATCCTGGCCACCATGGATAATGCGCCAAACAGATAATCTGCTTATGAATAATTGAGCTTATTGTTAGTGTCAATGTCCAAAGCCATCGGCTGAAATTCCAAATGGATTTCCAGGGAGAAGACCACCTTCTGTAAAGGCAGCTCACGGCCTCATTTCCCACTTTCTGGTTCTCCAGTGAGAGGGTGCAAAGCAACCTAAACAGCTCATTTGTTCCTTCTCCAGGTGCCTTCCCTTCCCCACCCCTCCCCACACATACTTGGAGTCGGGACCCTACCTCCCACCCCCATTTCCCAGCCTCTAAAGTGAACTACTGTGGGGACCACTCAGGGGATGGGAGGAGTTTGTACTTAAGGTTGAGAGCCAGCTAGGGCAACTCCAAATCTTCAGGACAGGGTGCCCCACCCACTCCCTTCTTTTGCCTCCTGGAGACCCTTTCCAGAAAGATGTCAGACTTTACCTTCTCCCTGAAAACTTATAGATCAGCCCCACTCCTTCCAGCTAGGGGGCTTCTGGACTTGGGAAGGTCTTGCTGGTGATGAAAGGAGACCCTGTACCCTCCCATGACTGAGAACGTCTCAGCGCAGGTCACAGGCTGGTTATTTCAGGGAACTCCCCAGGAGAGGGATGGGGCCTGATGAGCTAGGAAACTAAAACCAAAAACCAAACTCACTACCATCAAGTTGACTCCAACTCA